ATTCATGTACAATTTATTCCAGTGTTTTGTAGAAGTCCAGTGACCTTTCTATCTGTTGCCAAGGATAGACTCTGTCCTAACAGAATATATCTGCCTAATATCTCTTGAAATGAACCAATTTATCTGAAAAAAAATTCTTCCTCTGCTTATGCAAATATCCAAAACTTGATGGTCCCTGCAAAGACACTGTTTAAATAGCTTTTAGAGCCCACCCTCCCCTACTTTCAAATGATAGATTATCTGTGTCCAAGTTGATTAGTAAAGTATACGCTTAAATGGCCAACCACAGAAACACTGTTAATTTGATTACCTGCTCATTTTGTTTTCAGAAAACAAATGCTGATTTGATGCATATGAGCTTTTTTTTTTAGAATTTTCAGTAACAAGAGTGCTTTGTTTAATAGCGTTCTATTGAAATGACTGTCAGATCTGAATTACACAAAGCTGAAATTTGGCATTACCTCAGTGATTTTTGTTTCAAATGATCTTTAAAAATGGGATAGTTCAGACATATGGTAAAATACAAAGATATTAGGAATTTGGTGCCTTACTATAGTTTCTGCTCACCTCCAAAGTTTTTTTTTTAAATAAACATCCTTTTCTTTTTAAAGCTGCCCCAAACCTGCAGGATTTGGCATAATCCTCATACTGTGATATCTAGATTTCCAGAAGCAAGGAAGTGCATTCCAGAGGAATAAGAGACAGTGAAATTTAGATAGTGTGATTGGAAGGAAGACAGTCAAGCCAGCTCTTCCCTAGAACTTCTGATTCTTTAATGATGCAAGTAGCTTACTTTAGTTTAGCAAGATTATTATCTATAGGCAAGGGTATAGGGTGGGATAATTAAATAAAGAATGGCACTAGCAACATATGTGCCAGATCACTTCCTAATACTTGCTGGCATGTCTTATAACCTAAGTCCAATTATTGTATTATTGACTTCCAATTGGCACAGGCCCTACCACATATAGGAGCATGTAGTTAGAGGCTCCGTGTAAGCATTTTCTTTCTGTTGGAATGGGGGCAGCCCATTCTTCACCTAAAGGGGAAAAGAATACAGTATATCTGAGAGCTGCATTCCAAAGTCTACCTTGCCTTTGATGGGGAAAAGGAAAAACTCTGTTTGAATAAAGGGTGAGGGGAAAGGCTTCCTATCATTAAATCAATGGTAATTAATATTAGATGGAATGGAAGGAATTGTCCTGAAAAACAAATTTGATTCAGGGTCATGTCAAAGGCTAGTTAGACATCATGGTGCTGTTGCAAACACTTTGAGAAATATGATTGTACAGATCTGGAAAGTAATGGGGAACTATACATACTTTTTAATATTTGAACATGCAATTGTATTTCACAAAGGGAGCAATTTCCTTAATAGGAAATAAAGACAGTTATATTGATAACAGTGCCAAAGCTTATAGCAGAAGAGTTCAGATCATTAACTGCAGGTCATTTCCACAGGGAAAAAAATTGCAACTTTTCATTCCATTAACTTCCATTAACTTGATCCTGTAATGTTATTTCTATAAATACTTTTAAAAATGTCCTTGATAGGCAAAGAAGAGAAAACATAATGATAGAATTAAAGCATCTTACTTTCTAATGAAACCAGAACTAATTACTTTTGAAAAGAATATGATTCAGGGAATGGTCTTTCTTAATGGTCTTTCTTTTCAGACACTTGTTTCAATAAAACCCAAGTTAATGGCAGAATTATATCCAAATTCATAATAACATTCCAGCTACTACTTGACATTTAATGGATCAACTAACTAACAGATGCTTTAAAAATTGGCTGACAGTGTGTAGACACAACATTTATGCAAAATATTCTTCAATCTTTTCTCAAATGTTCTTCCAAATTCTTGGCCTTGGCCTTAGGTCTCTGTCTAAAAAAATACTTTTATTGACTGCATTGTTTCACATGATACTTCTTTTGTGTAATTTAAATGTCTGAACACAGCTTGAAAACAACAGCAACTAAGAAACACATATTAAAGAAATCTGACAAACATATAGTAAAATGATATTTGTAAAATATATTTTGTAAAATAAGCAATGAAGCTGCAATGGAATATCCATCTGGTTTGAATACTCCAAAAACAGAATATGCAAGCTTCCTATTTCACATCCCAGTGATTCTCTGATACTGTGAGCATTTGGTATTTTTCTTTGCAAGCATACTCTGGAGATGCCTAGAATCTGCTATGATAGCACAGTATGTATATATTAGTTTCAGTATATTCATCTTGTTAAAATATTGAAGTGTGCTTCATCTAACGCAATTTCTAGATTGAACTAACATCTGCTATGTTAAGACACCCTAATGCATAGGCCATCTTAACTTGTCCTTGGCCAAATTTTCTTTTAATATTTCCTTATTTCTTTACCTTATTTCTTTATTCTTATAGTTTCTTATCAGCTGCTATACATCTTCTTAATTTATTTTTATTTTTAATGTTTCTTTATTGTGTTCATTGCAGGATATATTACTGGTTTAGAACTTTTTTTTCTGTTTCCTTTTTAAAAATATATTAATTATGTAAACCATGCTCATTTTTTTAAAATAAAAAGCAATAGAAAAATATTGAAACAAATGTTGGAAGCTGCAAGAATGATACATATATGTGGATTTTAAATCATCTCTCAGCTTCAACAGTAATTGCTTGGTTCATCCTCTAATTCTGGAAGATGAAGGCAGCAACATCGGGTAGTTGAAACCATCTTGCTAACCATGGCCTCTGGGCAAAAGCCAGCATAAAGGAAGCTATTTATAGATATAGCTAGTCTAAAAAACAATGGCAGAAGTTTTATCACATTTTCATGACATAAGCCATGACAGGTATGTCCACATACATTCTGTTTCATAAACATTTTTGCCAAACATTTTCATCTCTAGAACATGGGTGGGCAATAAAGTTTTCTTTTAGCTGGAACTAAATGATAACAGATGATGTGAGATGCAGATCAATAACATCTGGAGGGTTGCACATGGTCCATGTCTATCTACTTATCAGTATTCAAACTTGATAAACTGGACAACATAGTTGGAAATTAATACTTGTCCTATGTATCTTCATGCTGATATTATCCCCACAAGGAAATATAGTAAACAGAATTATAGGCTAATAAAGACACAAAATTAGGAGTTCCTTGCAAATGCCAACATATATCAAAGTCAATTTTGGAGAAAATCATCTACCGTAGTTCAGATCATAATTTTTTTTCTACAATCAACATTAATCTACATCAAGTCTAATTAATGAAAGTATAGTGCTAATCCTGAGTTTCTGGAAAAAGTTACAACGCTAACAGGACATTTATGCAAGAACTCATTTATGTTGCACTTAGTTGCAAACAGGTCAATCAAATGCAAAAAAATAATAATACTAATATTAAAACCTTTTATGTGTGCTATAATATAATCTGGAAGTTTCCAAGCATTTTTTCAGTCTGAATTTGCAACAGTGTCTTTTTAGAATACTACAAAAGTAATTTCATGATACATCAAAATATGTTATAAAATAATTCCTGAAGGTAAAGAAGAAAGGCATTTGAATAACTTATGAATAACGGAAGGACTTGGTTACTTGAAGAACACTGAATTTTGTTAGAATTTCCCCTTGGCAAAAGATAGTTATTAAAATAAGGTGGAGAAGAAGAAAAAAGCTTTAGTTTGTGCAGTGTCTAAGCAGACTCTGAAAATTTCTCTTCATCATTCATAATTTACTCTACTGTACCCTCACTGGTACAATCAATATTAAATACATCTTAAATACATCCACAAGAAAACCAATTCTACCAGATGTGAAAATAGAGGCTGAATATCTTTTCATGATTATATAGAAACAAAAACTAAACAAAGACAATCAACTTTCCAATATTTCTCAATTTAAAGAAATCTTTTCCTGTTAGACATTGGTTCTTTAGTCAAATGTTTTGCATCCCTTTCATAAAATATGTAGACCACATTTTTGGCAATGTATGGGCAATGTATAAGAATCTCAGAAAGAAAAAGAATGTGATAAAGGTCTTTGAAAAAAATCTTAAGGACAATATGAATATTTATCAATTCACAATTACACAGTTCCAGTAATTTGATTTAACCATACAGTTTTAGATAGCATCGATTCGTACAAATTCACTTCTATTACTATTTGACATTCGACAAGTAAAACTTCTGAAGACAACTAATAGATGCCATCCAGTGATACATGTATGTTTAATATGGGACTGTAAGTCACTAGGAATTCCATGTAGGATTTCTAAGATTCCAATCAACTCACAGAAAGGTTTTCCTTGGGGTGGCTGCTTTCCTGTCTCCTCTCAAAAGGAACATTTATATTATTTACTACAAGTGCAGCTCTCTAGTTTCTAATGGTCTTTGGATCTCTTTATTCCTGGTTCATCTTGTATTATCTAGAAAACATGCTCTTCTAGAAAATCAGAATAGATAGCTCTAAAATAAAACTCTCATAGCAACATTTGAAATGATTAGTGTGGTGCTATGTAATGCTTCTATAACAAAATCCAAAATTAAACCATGGGATTTCCATGCCTGATTGTTTCTTGAAAAGCCAAAATAACTATAATTCTCTACTCATTTATTATAAACTCAAGCATACTTACTGGAAGAATAAGTGTGTGTGTGTGTGCACATGTGTGTTTTAAATGACATTAATATGTGAGATGTAGAAATATAGAGAAAATAATTGTCCCTGAAATAATTAATGTTGCATTCACACTTGGGATTCTATTTTTTCCAGGGAGAATAGTAAAAGTTTATGCCAACAATTTTCTGCATTCTTAATTTTCCATTGTGACTTTTTGACAAGGTACTAATTAATAGATTCATAATACTTAACATCAGGAACAAATATTATTTCCATTTATTATTAACAGTCTTAGAAAGTATTGAAGTAGAAAAAAATATCTGCTAGTTACAGTACAGTTCTTTCCACATATGGGTGTGAATAAAATGCAAGATTAATCTTACTAACCTGTGGTGTCATTCCATGGCAGATGTACATGATTGGAATATTTTCTGTATCTGGTCCCTGATCAAGGCACAGATCACTTTTTAGGGAATTCTGTAGCTAGGAAATATATAGAGGATGGGTAAGGACTCAGAAAAAAAGAATGTAAATTATTTGTTAAAACAGGACAAGAATTATACCTGTTTGAAACTCTACTTTTGTAATAGATATTTAACTATCATTAAGAGAGAGAAAAGCTAATCTGTTTAAATTAGTACTGTGAATTAATGCTGTATACTGTGAAACTTCAGCATAGTCTGTAATATTTAATTAATTAATTAAATTTAGGCACCACCTGACTCTGAACTGTCTATGGACAACTTACAGTATAATAAACTATGAAAGCAAACCAAGATGGTTTGGTCCTTCCATACAAAAACACAGATAAATCACATCCAACAGGGAGCTCCACCCATCCCAATGCAAGGCCTGGGATAAGGTAAGGTCTTCAAGACCTTACAACCAACTTTGAATAAAAAAAAATTCAATTAAAGTTCAAAGAATTTCAATTTAAAAAAGAATTTCAAAATTCACTAGGATTCCAACAAGAGGTTTGTTCAGTTTTGGCTGAACTTCAGGTCATCAATGTGCATTAACCCACCCCCACCCCCCCAAAAAAACCCTTATTAAGTAATTATTACTGCCAGATGATACCATGTAAATTGTATTCAAAGTATCTTCCCAATGCCTTGGATTCAATTTTTTAATATCCAACTTGTTTCACAGTACTACAAAATACTACTGTTTTGTATATAACAGAACAAAAATACAACATTCACATAACCCCCCCCCCCCCAACCCCCTTTTAAGGCCAAAATATTTTTATACAAGTTTTGGAATTTGCTATCATGAGATTTGGTGCTGACTACCAACATAACTGGCTTCAAAAAAGAGGTAGACCAACTTATGGAAATCATGGGGATCAGTGGCTTGATGGCAGTGTGACTGCCTCTAAAGGTTATCTACTGAATGACTAGTCAGCTTCCTTATTCAGTTGGTTGGCCATTGTAAGATAAGACTGCTGGAGTAGATGAGTTAGGGATTTGATCCATCAGGGCAATGCTTATATCATTATGAACACTATTATCCAGTGCCAATTAATCACAACATTCTCAGTTGTAATTGCAACACCAGAGCCCTGGTGGTGCAGTGGCCCACAGCCTGGAGTTCGATCTTGACCGGCTCAAGGTTGACTCAGCCTTTCATTTTTTCAAGGTGAGTAAAATGAAATTCCAGATTGTTGAGGAAAATAGCCTGACATTGTAAAATGTCCAGGGAATGCTGTGAAGCACTATGGAGTGTTATATAAGTCTACTGCTATTATAAGTAGACACATTTTGTTCTTAAAGCTTTTCTTTGTGGGCCATGGTCAGTCCACCTGCAGGAAACCGCTTGTCCCTATTTCCTTCCTAAGTCTGCTCAAGCAAATACAATTTCTCTTACCACCCCATAGGCGACAGTGTCAGAGTACATTCTCATCTCGGGATAAACACTGACAAGATACCACCGGAAGGTCTTGCACTGCAGCTTTTTCCTCAAGGCCTTCCTCTCCGAGATATCCCCAATGTCAATTCCAGAATCCTACACGTGAAGGCCAGAAGGAAAGTCAGAAATATCAAAGTCATTCTTGCCATACATAAACCATTTATTTCATTAAGGTTTCAACTTTAGTGACCAAGAGAAAACTTCCCACAGGTATTGATTTTTAATCAGTTCCTCAATGATCATTTCTGAAATTTCCAGATTCCAAAACAATTAAAATCAAATAGTAAGATGGTCTGGAAAACATTTCTGTCAACAAAATCAGGAACATTTTCCAGACATTACTAGCTTGCCGAAGCAGAAGAGTGGCTTTATCAATGCACAGATTCGTATTTTTCAGTCCATCTTTTTCATATATGAATATAAACATTTTGATGGCATATTCATTAGAAGCATTTGCAAAACTTATATAGAACATTGCTGTCACTCAAGAAATATTCATATAAATCCAGTGTTGATGGTACCTCAACAGCACATGTGATAAGGAAAGGGAAAATTGATGAAAGAAAAATGCCTGATGCTGTTTTGTGGTAAGATTACTTTTGGATTGATTGAAGGCTCATAAAGGGTTGATTTTAGTGCATTAATTATTATTTGGGGGGGGGGGGGATAAAAATATTTCAAGGTATATTGTAATAAACATTTTTTACAGGATTTCATCTCTCAGTGAAGTCTGAAGCAGAAAAAGCACATCTTTTGTTTTCATGGAAGTGGGGGAGGGGGGGAGGTTAAATGCAATAAGAGATGTCTTGCATTTAAATAGATTTCTTTCCTGTATTTTAATGGAGCATTATCTTCTGCTACATGATGCACACTAATAAAATTAAATACATTATGGAGGTAAAAATTGATTCAGCCTTCCATTCTTCTAAGAGCAGTTAAATGAGGACCCAGATTACTAGGGATAATACACTGAATGTGGAAACTGCTTAGAGAGGGCTGTAAAGCACTATGAAGTACTATATAAGTCTACTGTGCTGATGCTATTGCTAAAAGTGTGGGGGGGAAGGTATTTCCCAAAACAAATCAGTCCTATATTAGAATTCAAGTCTGGAGATAGTTCTTTTATTTCAATACTCTCAATTTCACTCTCAATGATCTTGATATACTGCTATGGATTAATTGACGACTGAAATTGATTTTTAATGTTCAGCCAATATTTCTTGCATTGTGCCTGCACAAAACTAGTCCTATCAAAATCAGTTGACATACTGTTCAATTGAAGATGGAATTATTATATTAAAAAAATAAATAAATAAATCAGTTAGAAATACAACTGAGCAAAGTTTCAGGTGACACAAATCATGTGATGAACATTCATTGCTGAACCAGTTCAAGGCTATTTGATCATATTTTTATGATACAATTATCCTCATCTGGTTCTTGTACTATAAAGTTGCTGAAATAATTAAATGTAATTGCAGTCTTACTACAATTTTAAAATGACTGTTTCTAACTGATAATCCTCTTAGACTTGTCTAAGTGACAGGTTGTCTTGGGCTTATATGTTTCTCTTGACAGACTTCTTAATTTAGCAATATAAGCATTGGTGATTATCAGTTATCACTTGGTCTCACAAGTCAGATTCTTGAAGAAACTTATGAAATTGAATTGGATATTGTTTTGTAGCATAAGGCTACGTGGTCATACTGATGTCCATTTGTAACCTACCTCCTGAGGAATATTCCATGCCATGTAAACATGGCTTTTGAATTCGTCCATCCAAACTTCAGCCACTCTTAATGCATTTCTTCGGACATGGGATGTTAGATCTTCTGTGTATGGCTTATGGGCTCGTTCAATATGGGCAATCCTAGAACAAGGTAGGACTTCAACACTACCGCCACATTGCCAGACCTAGGGAAAAAAATGTATTTTGCTATATTAGATAGATTGATTCTACCAACTGTTCAATAGTCCCTTGACCAGATTTCACAATGTATAGGAATCTCTCCTGGTAGTATACACACTACAGCTCATAGTGTATGAAAGCAAGTTATGAATTCACTTCTGGTATTAAATATAAAAAGTTGTATTTTAATTTTAGAGATATATTTCTCCCCTTCCCTATTTAGAATTTGAATCTGGGTATCTGAATCTCAGGGAAGTAAAAAGAAGAATTCAAGTAACTCCCACAAGGCTGAACTTACCTACTTTTGACCTAAAACATAATTTGCACAAAATTACTTAAAATGGGACCTCTAGTACCCATTTTAAGTAATTTTGTGCAAATTATGTTAAGGCAAAAATGAGAAAATCAGATACCATCTCAAGTACATTAACATAAGGCCTTCCAAACTGAAGAACTCCACTTCATCCCTGGAAAATCCTTAAATAAATCCTCTCTGAAATATTACTGTTGGGTAGAATTTTGGGAGGCTATTGTCTTTTAGCTCTACTCTATCTGGACTTTCTGGATTTCTTTTTTTTTTTTAATTAATCTTTTATCTCATACTGGCTGAAGTAAGTCAGCTGACCATTCAATCAGAAAATGAAAATTAACCTTGTCAGGTTTGTTTATTTCCTATTCATAATAGATGACAATACCTGAAATAACTGGTATGAGCTATGAAACAGTTCTTTTTAGCCCTTGGATGAGAGAAAACCAAGAAATGAATATGGGGTTAGTAGAATAAATTAAGAAGCCAAAAAAGACAATGATGAACCATTTCCATATTGTTGCCAAAGAAATCCATGAGAAGTCCAACTCAGATGAAAGTTCTTTCCATTCATCTGTTATGCTATGTTCAGTGACCTATTTAAACGTATATTTTAGACCATTTGGCTGCAATACAGTAGACCAGCATACTGGCTGGGAACTTCTGGGAATTGAAGGCCACATATTTTAAAGTTGCTAAGATTGAGAAACACTGAGATAGATATTTGATAACATTAAACACTAGATGAATATGGGAAAAGGTCAGGATGTTTATAAGGGTGTTTTCTTTTGGGGTAGGGTTTTTTTTAGTCATTCCCAAATTATATCCAACAAATGCTTGAAGACAAAAGCTTCATGCAGCTTCCTTGATCCTCTATCTTATATTGACTTCATCTTTTATGCTGTTAAGAGCCTCTTTTTTATGTCTAGAATTTTGCTATATAATGAAAAGAAAAATGGGGTACTTTTCGTCTCAGCGATATCAAGCTATTATGGAAAGCAATACGAAATTATTAATATCATATACATTTGTGAAGAATGTTTTTAAAAGTACCTATAAACTGTTTTTCATTAATAAAACAATAATGAATAAATGATGCTTGTGAATGTTAATAGATTTTCCTCTGGCAGTACATGTCATTTGTTCTCATTTTTTTTAATAATACAGAAAGCCACAAAAGGTTCATTGATTTTAAACAGAAAATAAGAGACAGAAAGTACAAAATATGCAATTATAAGGAGAAAACAGAAAATAGTTTCTATCCTGAAACATAACATCCCAAAAGTTTATGAATGAGATCCATTTTTGTTTACATTTTATTGGCTTCCAACACAGTAAATTTCACAAACAATGTTAAAGTTCAAATTTTTCTATTCAGAAAATAGGATGTTAGGAGGTTTCAGTGCTTCACAAGGTTTGCAGAACTAATCTTAGATGCTGTTATTAAAAGTGGAGGAACAGTAGATTTATCTCTTTCACCGTTTCTTTAAAGTAGCATATTACATTTGGAGTTTTAATTCTCTGGTAACTGGTTGCCTCTTATATATTGACTGTTACATGACGCACTATATCCCCCCTCCCCCATTAAATGTGAATACAAAGTGAAAAATCTCAGTTATGTGCCACACTGAGGTGGAGTTTTCTTTGACTTTTGTTTTGTTGTTGTTGTTGTTTTTAACAAGCTGTTGTAATTGCCATAAATTTGCTGAAAAGGTGTAGGGACCCCTGCTTCCTCACTAGCACATGCCATGCAGTGGTGGTACTCAATTTTTTTTTACTACCAGTTCCATGGGCGTGGCTTGGTGGGTGTAGCTTGGTGGGCCTGACAGGGAAAAGGATATACTGCAAAATCCCCATTCCCTCCCCACCCCACTATCCTGCTTTCCAGCTCCATTCTCCTGTGCTGGGCAATCAAAGAAGACCCAGCCGATCAGCTGGGACTCGGGAGGCAGAGAATAGATTGGGGTGGGGCCAACCAGAGGTGGTATTTACTGGTTCTCTGAACGACTCAAAATTTCCATTACTGGTTCTCCAGAACTGGTCAGAATCTGCTGAATACCACTTCTGCTTTGTAGTTTTCTAAACATTGAAAGTAGTTTCTGGATTGTTCAAAGAATTAAAGCACATCTTTAACTGAATAAATATATTGAAAAATACACATTTTAACCAAAATGTATCTAGAAATGTGTGCATCATAAAATCTCTAAAAGAGGATTATGTATTTATTTATTAAAATTGCACACTGTTTCCTATGCTAAATCATAAAATACATAACAATGTATCAAAACAGTGGAAAACAAGATTATAATAAATATGCTTTATTTTTAATCTAGAGTGGGAGGGATAGGAGACATTTTTCCAGCACTATACTTGAAAGACTGGTTGAAAAATAAGTTTTCAATGCATACCTAAAAAGGTGTTTCTAGGTCCAAGCTGAACTTGAAGAGATTCCAAGAAAGTGAATAGTTGGTAAATAGCATTCTGTAACTCTTGATATACATTGTAGGATATTCCATGATAATCTTAAGAGATCGTTTACCAGGAAATGCAATCTCAGGTTACCACATTCTGCACCAACCAGTTTTCATATTGTTGGTGTTTCCATGTAGAATACATGGCTGAATACCACCTCTGATGCCATGTAATGGGACAAGAACATACTCATATATTCTGGTTTTACTACTTGATTGAGTAAGATATATATTTGACAATCTGGTATTAAGAGTAATAAGAAAACATTTTAACATTCAATTTAGAATTAAATCCTATTAAGACCAACTGCATATTTATCTTTTTCTTCCAAAATCATTGTCTGAAATTCAGGAAAACTGAACAATATCTCCTTGAAATTGTAATTTCTAATAGCAGGGATCCAATCTCATAAAACTGATATGAACATAACCTGCATTTAAAAAAATCTGTTTCACCTATACAGTGATGCTATTATACACAACACTGATGGATTATTCAAGCTACAAGTTTTGTTTCTTTCAAACATTGGAATTTCACAGATGTTACTATTTCTCACATTAAGATGCATAACAAACAATTATTTTGTACCAATGACTAACAACTTTGAAAGTGTGAGACCAAGTTTGGCATTGGAACTAAGTTAGAAACCTAGAGACATCATTGGTACCATGAACCTCATTACTTTGCATTCCTACCTAAAGAATATATGTTCATAAATGTTGGCCTATCTCATTGACCCAGACTCATTTATAGTCATTTAAAAGATGACAGCTTTTCTTTTCTGTTTTCTATTGTTTTACATTCCTTAACCTGCTATTCTCAAACTAACTGGGGGTGGCGGGGAGATGTCAAGTTGCCTAGGAACTATTTTAACACAACTATATGGTGTTTCCCCATTTTTTCACATCAGTATATTGTATAGAAATTGTATTTTTCTTCATACATAAAATGTCAAATTATGCTACTGTTAATTCTTGAAGCCCAGTGAAGTGTAAATCTGTAAATGGGGGCTGAACAACAACTCTGAATAGTACTGAATAGTTCTGATCTTTTTAATGAATTTGAAATAAGGAGGCATCATTTAAGATGCCACTTTACCATATCTTTGATTTTGCTAATAATTCTGTCATTTAACTGCAAAATTAAACTGCACCTGCTTATAACACACACAAGTACACAATTGGCCTGATTTAACATGTGCTACAATATGGTTTGTAAACAGCAATTACTCCATTCCTTGGCACACTCCAATTAATCAAACCTGTGGGTCTAAACACTGTCAGTCTTTGTTCTATTTCTGCAGTCTCATTAATTACACTGCTTCAAGAAGCATGAATTCATTTCAGATCTTAAATGTTAAGCAGAAGCTGTCAAGGCAAGGGCTGCTCCAACTAGCTGGCTGCACAGAGCAGAATCAAAATCCAATCTAATTATTTATGAGGATTAATGCAACTAATGTTTGACAAATATTGGTCTAAATGCATCCACCTTCCTAAAATAAACTAAAAACAAAAGCATACACTTATTATAAATAAACAAAAGCATACACTTATCCATTGTTTGACCCTGTTAGGAATATAAGTCACCTAACAGGTATTTGGGTTAGAAATAAACAAACCAGGATAAACATTTTAGTACTATGTCTTTAAGAGATTGCAAAAACTGCAATTGGGTGTGGTTTTTGAAATGGCCATAAAATGGGGCCAGAAACCTGGATTGTCTTAGTCTGAGTCTCAGAAGAGAGTGTGAGTGTATCTCTGTTTCCTTCTGTTGGAAAGTATTGCCATTCCTCCATTTCTTCTAATTGATTGATATTCCTGGATTTAATGTAAGTCTGATACTGAACTGTTTTTGACACTGGACTTTGATATTTGGATTATCCCTGGATTGAAAACTGACTGATTTAACTTGTGAATGACTTTGGATTGCTTGTTTGGACTTTGCTTAACATTTCTGGAAGTAAAAACCTACATTTACTGTACAGTGTATCTGTGTACTGTGTGTGTATTATTCCTACACTACTCTCTATACGTCTCCCTGTATGCGCTCATTCTCCTAACGGGGAATTACCTCAACAGACCCCATGATATATATGATAAAAGACAATAAGAACAGCTAAAGATTTATATTGGATGGGGAGAAAAGGCTGGTTCGGGGCTGAATTTCTGTGGCTGTATATTGTGGGTGAAAAAATAACTTAGGAAGATGTTGAGTCAGCTCCTGACT